ATAAATATATATAAAATATATATAAATATATATATATTATATAAATTTATATAATTTACGATAATAAAATTAATAAATTAAATATTTGTAAAATATTCTGTTAGAATATACGCAATATTGGCGCAGGATCAACGCGATCAATAAATGAGTACGCAATATCAAAAAAGATTCATTCAGATAGTGTAAGCAGTTTCCATGTTTCTCTCTTTACGACGCGTGCTCGAGTTATTCTTCTTCTTAAACAGCGAGTTATGGCGTGCGTATGGTATAATACAGTAAGATTATATTCTAATAAATCTGTCTTTTTATGAACTGAATCCATCATCTCTCTGCATCCTTATCACCACTCAAATCAACAGATTATGGGCCCAGTACGCAAATAAGTATCGTACTGTGAAATAAAAAGGTTTTTAAATGGGATCATAATGGCCTCGTCGAAGGCAACGTGCAAGATCGAGAAACTAATCGACACAAACTATAAATCAAGATGAGGCGAGTGCTTATGTCAACGACCTATGGAGGTACGTTAACCGCGAAATAGCTGTGACCGAAACAAATTGAATCGAATGAAAAACAAAAGATCAAAAGGCATTAGCGCTGATAATATTAAGTCGGTAGAAGCATAGAAGGAATTAGAGAAAGACCACGAATCAAAAGAATCCATGCGGAAGGCGGTACTGCATCGAATGAAAAAGGGACCCAACCAAACCATGGCGCAATACATTCATTCCTTCATGCGCACGGCTACCGACGAGATACTATTATAGACCGACATCCTTACGAGAGTTAGCGTCCTTGTGAATATTGAAGTAATTAAGAGTTAAAAACTGAAAATATTGTATGTGCTTTATTAATTAAAAGTAAAAGAAATCATCTTAAAGGAGGCAAATCCTCTAAAGGAACGTCAGTTCAAACCGAGAAACGCTAAGTTTCAGGAAAGCTGTTATAAATGTGATAAAATCGACCATCGTGCGATTGAATCCAGAACCCACAAGCTACAACTCACGAAAAATAACACGGAGGATCACGATGCAAGCGATAGAATTAAACACAGGGCCCACGCAATGATGTTTAGACAGCGGCGTGACAAAGCATATGTGTAATAATAGCACAAAATTCAGCACTTTTTTAAAAAGCAAAGCATGCAACGTATATATTGAAGCGTTAGGTCAGATCAAGAAATGTCGGCGATGTCAAACTGAACATAAAGTTGCCAGGAAACCAACAATATAAAACTACAAGATACGTTGTTAGTGCTGGAGTGTTTAGGATTGTTTAGGAACAATCTAACGTCAGTATCCAGAATGACAGATAATAATTATGTCGTGATTTTTCGTAAAAACGAAGCAATAGTGAAACGTACGGATGGATCAATCGCTATGACTGCAAAACGTCGAGGACAACTGTACATGGTTAATGGAAATAAAGAAGATGCAACACTCAACATTGTAGAACATGCACCGAATAAGCTAAGACAATGGCATGAAAGATTTGGTCACTTAAACCTTCACGATTTAAAGAAGTTAAAAATCAACGACATGGTAAGCGGAATCAATTTTGATCCGGAAGAAACTTCATTTGACTGCGAGACATGTTATACAGAAAAAATATGCTAAACTCTATATAAAAGTTCATCGAGGAGAGCAAAAGAAAAACTAGGTTCGGTCCACTTGGATATCTGTGGGCTGATAAGCACCACGTCACTAGGAGATTCGAAATATTTCGCAACGTTTATCGACGGCTATACAAGATACAAGGAAGTAGTCATGCTGAAGAACTGTTCAGAAATCTTGTCTGCCTTTAAGAAATACATGTTATGAGTTAAAAGAAAGATTAGCCTAGCATCAAGGTACTACGTACGAACAACGCGAAGAAGTACGAGTATACCTTCAAGGAATTTACAGAATTATTAGAGTCAGAAGGCATCAAACACTGACTGACTACATACATCCCAACAAAACGGCATGGCAGAAAGAGCTAACCGCACACTGGTGAAAGAAATGGCGCGATGCATGCTGCTGCAATCTAAACTGCCTAATAGTCTCTGGGCAGAAGCAAATTTCATAAGGAACAAGTGCCCGACTAAGGCATTAAACGACAAAACGCTTTTTGAAATGTGGAACGACCGGAAACCGTATGTGGGATTCATGCACATTTTTGGATGTAAAACGATTGCCTTGATTAAAGGAGTGAATAAAGAAAAATTTGAGGCGAGAGGAAGATCCATGATCATGGTAGAGTATTCAAGCGAATTAAAGGCTTACAGACTGTGGCAGCCCGGAACAAAGACAATCATCAAAAGCCGAGACGTGCGCTTCATCCAAAAGGAAGACCTCAATCGTGAACGAACAACTGAATTGTTCAAGGCCTCAATGAATCTGAATGGAGAAAACGTCATCGAATACAACCCTGTAGAAGTAAAACCGGAAGTTAAAGAAAATGAAGAGGCGGATGATGATGTAGCGAGCACACATGACGATATATAGAATACATCGAAAGGAATTGTCAATATTGAAAAGATGAACGCGGGCAAAGAAAATGACGCCTAAGATTTAATGAATGAAGCAGAGTCGAGTACATCGATGAAAATCACAGATGGTAGTGAAGCAAAGTAGTGAAGCAAAACGAGAACGAGGACGCTCGAAGAAGATTAGAACGAGAAAACCGGGTAGACCGAAGCAATAGTATTCAGAAGCAGCAAATTTAACCATTTGTCAGTATGAGAATCCACCAAATGTGCAAGACATATTGAACAGAGCAGATAAACAGTTATGGTTAAAAGCAATGAAAACCGAATACGATTCATGAAGCACGAAACATGGAATTTAGTTGAAAAAACGCCAAGCATAAAGATATTGTCTAATAAAAAAATAGCCGGGTATTCAAGCTAAAGAGAGACCAGGATGGCTCGTCAAGATACAAAGCGAGGCTAGTCGCGTGAGGTTGCGAACAAAGAAGAGGTGTCGATTTTGAAGAAATATTCGCACCGATAGCAAAGTGTGAGACAATAAGAACCCTGTTGGCAGCATCAGTAGAAGCGGAAATGCACATCTACCAAATGTCGTAACGGCCTACGTACAGGAAGACCTTGAGGAACGAGTATATATGGAGCAACCCAAATTGTTCGTCAGGAAAGGAGAAGAAGACAAGGTATGCGAGCTTAGAAAGCCTCTGTACGACCTAAAACTGACAGGGAGAGGCTTGGTACAATAAACTGGATAATTTCCTATCGACTATAAGTATGTACAAGACTGTGATCCTTGCGTTTATATTAACTCTAGGAAAAATAGAGTAATAACTATTGTTTAGACGATTTACTTATAACGTCTAGCGACATCAAAGAGTTATGTAAAACTAAGAAACTATTAATGAATCAATTTCAGATGAAGGATTTAGAGGCAACAAGCAATATTAGGAATAAATGTCGAAAGGAACGGTTCCACAGGTAGCATAAGGTTATTGCAATGTCAATACATATAAAACTTGCTAATCAAATTCAATATGATGGACGCAAATCCTGTCGCAACTCCGATGGATTTGAATGTAAAGCAAGGATGGATGTCCATGCAGTGCAAAAGAAAAGGGGCAAATGAAAAACATACCGTAGGGAGCTCATTGGAAAGCTCGTATATTTAGCAAACGCGACCTTACGACCGTACTTGTCATTTGCTGTCACCGTACTTAGGTTATTGCAAGAATCCCGGTCCAATACATGGAGAATGGCTAAACGAGTATTGCGATATTTAAAAGGCACGATGGAGTATTGTATCACGTACAGTAAATGAAATAAAATATTGCGCGCTTATGTAGATGCGGATTGAGCAAGCGATATCGACGATAGAAGATCATGCTCAAACATCTTTATGTTAGCAAACGGCACGATCAGTTGGCAAGCGAAGAAACAAAAATCCGTAGCTCTGTCTACGATAGAGGCGGAATATGTGTCCCTATCAGAGGCATCTAAAGAGGCTACATACTTACAGCATTTATTAAAACATATGAATTTCATAATCTTATAGAGGGTGCGACGGAAGTGTTTTGTGACAGCCAAAGGGCAATACAATTAAGTAAAAACAATGCATATCATGGTAGCAGTAAACACATAGATATTAGAAAGCACTTCTCGAAGGAAGCGAGCGAAAGCGGCGATATAAAGGTAAAATATCTAGAGTCAGAGCCGATACATGTTAGCCGATATATTGATTAAGACGCTGTCCAAGACCAAACATGAGAAGTGTGTAACGATGTTAGGTTTGGATTCAAGAATCAGTACAAATGACATATAATTTATGTATTCATACTCGATATATCGAGCGCATTGATAGGGAGAATGTTAGAATACGAGATATTGGCGCAGCGAAACGCTTGTAATTGGTTCTGCTCTTATTCCACAATACTATTCCGCTTCATGAATAGGCACCTTTAGAGTGAAAGATATAGGCTGTGTAGCGGTTGATCACGTTGGCCGACCGTGTGTGGGAGCGTGTATGGGAGCGTGTGTGCTCGCGTGTGTGCTCGCTGTTGCTCCGTGCTGCATCGTGCTGCACCGTGCTGCATCGTGCTGCACCGTGCTGCACCGTGCTGCTCCGTGCTGCACCGTGCTGCACCGTGCTGCACCGTGCTGCACCGTGCTGCACCGTGCTGCACCGTGCTGCACCGTGCTGCACCGTGCTGCACCGTGCTGCACCGTGCTGCACCGTGCTGCACCGTGCTGCACCGTGCTGCACCGTGCTGCACCGTGCTGCACCGTGCTGCACCGTGCTGCACCGTGCTGCACCGTGCTGCACCGTGCTGCACCGTGCTGCACCGTGCTGCACCGTGCTGCACCGTGCTGCACCGTGCTGCACCGTGCTGCACCGTGCTGCACCGTGCTGCACCGTGCTGCACCGTGCTGCACCGTGCTGCACCGTGCTGCACCGTGCTGCACCGTGCTGCACCGTGCTGCACCGTGCTGCACCGTGCTGCACCGTGCTGCACCGTGCTGCACCGTGCTGCACCGTGCTGCACCGTGCTGCACCGTGCTGCACCGTGCTGCACCGTGCTGCACCGTGCTGCACCGTGCTGCACCGTGCTGCACCGTGCTGCACCGTGCTGCACCGTGCTGCACCGTGCTGCACCGTGCTGCACCGTGCTGCACCGTGCTGCACCGTGCTGCACACAGAGCCGCACTGAACAACGCCTTATGTGTAGCATAAGGTGTCGTCACATAAGGTGATCTATCGACATGGAAACGAGAAAACACGCACATGTATTTTTAGTCTCTTACGGGGACCCATATGTGTTCGTATACGGAGCCGCACGGAGCAGCATAGCGCAGCAGCGAGCACATACGCTCCCACACACGCTCCTACACACGCTCCTACACACGCTTCCACACATCCACACGCTCTCACACACGCTGGGCAGTACAAAGCAACATGGAGCAGCATGGAGCAACATAGAGCAGCATCGAGCAATACAGAAGCTATACCGATCGCACCGTCCTGATTATCATTCCGATGCGATTCCCTTGGATAGTGCCTCCATTAGGAAGGGAGTAATGTGGCAACCGCCACCAGAGGTCCAATGACGGAACGCGCTCGGTTTCATGTAAGCACCTCAGTCACGCAAAGATCCTTTAAATAGGATAATGACTGAGACCAGGGCATCTAAGGCAGGTCCTCACTACATCGCCTTACTGATGAGTCTAGTAGTGTTGGACCGAGACGAAACGCCACGGTCAACCACTCAGCTTCGAGTCTGGCCTCCTTAGTGAGTTTTCTCCTTTACCGACTCGGTCCGCCGGACCGCTCCTTAATTATGTAGCAATCCGCTACATTGTGTCATTCTATCTACATCGTTCATTAAACATGAAAACATTATATATGAAACAAGAATAGTATGACACAAAGAGCATTGATAGAGCGCTCCTCGAATGCAGCCATAAGGTCTATTCGTGTTACTTACAGCTTTTGCACTCAGCACCTTGGCTTTCTCTTTTTTCAACGTCTAAATATGTATCTGTTTAATTTTAAGTTCGAAAATTTTTGGGAATTTTAGGTAACACGAAGAGATCAATAGTTTGTTTCGCTTTTATTACGCTAGTTCAGAACTATTTAAAAAAAACCAGACCTCTAGATTAACTAGAAAAGATGTGTCCGGTAATGTAAATCTTAGATGCGAGCTAGCAGATAGCGAGCTTGATTACGCGATCTTCGAGTAATAGGTGTGTTCGGCATTGCAAGTAGGAGGCGTCCGTTTGCTTTTTTACTTCGAAAATCGTTCGGCAACTCGCATCTTTCTGCTACATATCATCTCATCTGTATTCGATAACATTTCTAGAGCTAATCGAGCTGCTGGATCCATTCCGGATTCAAAAACCGAGCTTGCAGAGCTAATGCAGATTTTCGCGCCTAAATTAAATTAATAATCCGTATATTTATGATAATGTATCCAATTGATTCATTAACACATAACGTTCGTCTCTTTTAATACTTCTATTTACAAATAGTGTATTTGAACTGTATTATAATGTCTGAATCTACAAACGCTCAAACAAATGCTATCAAATAGAAATTGATGGAGTACATTATGTATAATATTTAACAAGGAAAGTAAGTTTTAATTCTTTTCCTCTTTATGAATTTGACGTTACGTATTTGAAAAAGAATTTGCTAGTTAATTTTTAGATTAAAGCTTATATTGCACATATAGAATGAAATAAAATCAAACTGTATTAATATATTAAAGACTCTAACAATTATAAATTAAGTGATATAACTTATAAATTGCTGAAATTTATTTTGCAATGTAGTATTTTCTTTTAAGAAAACACATCTTGTATATGAGTCTGCTACTTTATGTGTAACGATCTATTTTTAATATAAGACTATTAATAATTTAAGACTATTATCAGTTTCTAATAAAATGAAAGAGACATTTTCAATTAATAAGGTATTATTTATTCATACAAATAAACAATTTCATTTTATAATCTAACCTTGAAGGACAGTTTACAGCTTTGTAGCGTTCGGAATTAATTCTTGGCACTCGGATTGCTCGCAAATCACGTGATCAAGCTCGCCATCTGTTAGCTCACATCTCAGATTTATATTGCCGAACGCACCTAATTCGAGTGTCAAGAATTAATTCCGAACGATATAGAACTATAAACTGTCCTTTAAGATTAGATTATAAAATGAAATTATTTATTTTCAATATTATAAAGTGGCTCAATGTTAAGAAGGTTAAGTAAAAAAGGAGCATACAGCCACACTTAAGATGTCAATAAGTTATATATTAATAATAAACATTCAACCAAGTAGACGTTTCGGTCACCATCTGACCGTCCTCAGTACAATAATAAAAACCTAAATTAATTTAAACCTAGTTACATAATTTAAATTTGTTCCTAATGTTAGTCAGTAATAATTTCTCGCTTCTTATTGTGCATTATTCGCCTCGGTATCCGCATTTTACAATATAACAATTTTGCAATGATTTTTGACAAAATTAACAGTAGACCGTCCAGTATTCTTCTTTAATTTGTTGTGTGGAATCATTTTATTACTCTAAGCAATCCACCCCGATTGTAAACATTATCACGCTATATCAAGTTCAAACTACGACGAAGAACCGCCACAGAGACACGTAAGTGCCAAATTCTATTGCAAACAATTTTTTTGAAAACAATTTACATTAATTTTCGTATTCATTAAGAAGAGGGGCATTGCGATTGTGCCGAATTTCAAGTGATTAAAATTGTCAAGTGTCGGTATGCGAGGGAGTCCCGTGCCGCAAGATACGCGGTAAGTCTATTGAATGTTCAAATAATATCATATGGACGGAAATTCTTAATGAATACGAAAATTAATGTAAATTGTTTTCAAAAAAATTGTTTGCAATAGAATTTGGCACTTGCGTGTCTCT